GCTTTGAGCTTAGGTATCGGTCTATCTGTGGGGTGCGCAGTTGATGACCTAGCTTGGCAAATATTCGTATGTAGTTGATGATGTGGGAGGCGGAGTGGAAGATGCCGTGCATATGGCCAAACGGTTGCCAAGAGAATTATTGCAGGTATCCTATGCCGTTTGTGCTCTGTAGAAGCCGTCTCCCATGGCGGACGTGGTTTTCCACCCTGTGCTCCACAAGCCACGATAATTGGCAGCCGTTTTCTGGAATGATACACGGGCATCAAAATCAAGAGTGTTCCGTGTAGCCGCGTAGAAACTAGCATCGTGAATTATCACTCGGTATCATGGGTGGTCACTCGACTCTTTTTTTTTTTTTAAAAAAGGGGGATTAGTTATGATAGATTTTCCATATAAAGATCGCTTCTATCGAATATTATTGACTAGCGTGCTAGGGAATGTGGATGGGTGATAATCGAATCTAGGCAAGCACCCATGTTTGGTTACTGTATTGTTCATGAGTATCATAGCCAGACTAAAATGCCGTTTAGCTTATTTCCTCTTTCCTCGCAATGATTCATTTCTACAGTATCTGTTACTATTTTCTCCTCTATTCCTTTATTTTTCCTGTTTGGGGGGGGGGGGGGGGGGGGTAGGGCAAACCGTGAAGTATGGCCATGGTACTAGGTGCGCGTAAACTTTTGATCTCAAACCAAACATTTATAGGTTTAGCCCAGTCTCTCCCGGGATAAGCAAAATAAAAGAAGTTTACATTATTTACTTAATAACCGAGAGGGGATCTTGGAATTTCTGATCCTTGGGTGATATATTATGCGAAGTCCCAAGACTTGAATCCATCGAGTATAGTATTTTGTTAAATAATCAATTGACCATAATCTTACCCTATAATTATAAATATAATCTAATTTTAATCGCCGAGATGACCGGGATTTTTTTAGAGTCTTGGGGCTTTTTCTGTAAAAACAGTCATTTCCCAAACACACAGAATCACTCGCATTTTTCGAGACTCGATCTTAGATGTATTTTCAAATTATATTGCCCTCGGCCGCTATGTGTTGTCTCGTGCTTTGAGAAATTTTTGATAATTCTTCCCTTGTGCCCTGTAATACTTCCTATAGCCGGGAAACAATTTTTCATTGTCCATCTGGTAACAGTTGTCCAAATAAACACACCGATAACAGAAACAAGAGGTGTAGTGTATAGTTTGAATAGTTGGCGCTTAAACCATTACCATGGTACTAATTCTCTAGCGTATCCGAATGTCGGAGCCTTGGGCTGCACCTAGCTCTCTAACCTCTCAATAGGGGGCCGTTAGTGGTTACTAGTACAGTTATGTGTACAACAAGTGTTTAAGATGACGGGAGACTAGTAGAGTATTTAGGAAATTTTTTCCGGACATAAACCTCCTAATAAAAATTATACTTCTATCGAAACACCTCCTATCATGTGGGACTATATCCAGTGATGATTCACCAACACAACCATTTTCAATTCTTAACTCGATTTTATCAGTTGAGATAAGATATATATGTAGATATGTACTCCGAACCGGTGTATGATGAAGCTTTATCAATGCATCGTATGTTTTTAGGTTCATCCTTTCTTTTTGGTCGTGGAACTGCCAAAGGCTCGTTTTGGTCATTATAAAGATCAGCAACTAGGCCTAGGTATAAGAGGGAGTCGATGTATACTACCGATAGATGAAATATCAGGCAACATACCTATTATATTTACTCTAGTCCTGACTTCCAGTTATGAGCCTGCACCATGTAGGTCCTCATAATGGACTGTTTGACTGTGTACAGGTCTGCTCTGCCCTGGTGACGGACGTTCATGACTGGAGCGCCCCATTTATGAACTTTGTGTAGGGACGGTAACTAGTGGACTACCATTAATATTGAGAAACGACAAATGCGCATGTTCAACAACGAGGAGTTGAGGCCTAGCTGACATAAGAGATATTGTGGAACTCGGCACTCGAGAAAACATTGACAACTTTATGTCTGCTGAATCAGAAGCACTAGCCTGTCCAAGGGAGCCGAGGAGTGAGGTATCCCCAACTTCGAACATCAACTTTAATGAGCTCATGAGTCATATGTGCTCCTGATGCAGCGGAACCGTTTCTGACGGTGGTGGGCGGTTCATGAGATATTGACTTACCGAAAGACGTGAGTTGCACTATAGCTATGTGGGTAAACATTCCTGACTACCATGCTGGTTATGAACGCTTTGGTATAAGATTTCGTTTATGGCCGAGGTACCCCACTCACGAATGTTTATTATGACGCTGGGAGCGTTCCTTATTGGAGCAAAATAAGTCGGGCCGTACTGGCCCGTAACCTAAGCGAACGGGTAATCCCGCTGAGCAGCAAAACCACGACGTCATCCCAACTTTTATTCGAAACACGAATACTGAGGTAAGCCGGTACATATTCAAGTAGGGGATGTGTGCGAGACTGCCTTTTCTCCTATAAATTCCATAATCGAGTTTGAAGGACGTCGACTTATACAATGCTTACATACCTTGCCGCCCTTCTTACTGAACCTGCACACTTTCTGCTTTCTCTGACGCCACTTTCACGTTTGCTCCCTAGTATTGATCACTTTGCTCCACATCCTACGGCACCTTTCGAAGGATACTACACCCGTATTGTAACACCTTCCCACGGGTCAATACTCCTTATCCTCTCTTCTGTGCGACAAGCAGAAGATAAACCCCATTATATCCACTTTTCCCACATACCATCAGCATCAGAGCCACAGGATAAAGCATTGCAAATCGATGTATTCCCAACCATCACAGACGTTCTCGGAGAATGCAAAGAAAGTGGATTCCAAGAATTCACCAGGGTTGTTTCCGACGGAATCGGATACTTCCGCACTGCCGAAGGTGAACAGAAATATTCACTCCGTCTCCCAGATCCTGAGTCGGAGGGCGGCGACGAGAGCGTGGTGGAAGTGGAAGTAACGATCACTCAGAGGGCACCCTGGATAAAAGGGGATGCACTCAGTACTCCAGAGGGTGCATTCAGTAATCTGGTGCATCTGCTTCCGCTGCACTGGAACGTCTTCTCGCATAAAAGTATGGCAGAGTACACCGTAAAGAGAGGAGGTGAACTTTGGTTGCAGGGGACAGGAATTGCACATTCCGAAAAGAACTGGGGGGTGTCCTTTCCTACTGGTTGGACTTGGTAAGCCTTTCCCTAGCTCGTTCATTTAAAGCACCGAGAGTATTTGGTCTGGTAGTCCTCGGAACCCGCCATTAGATAAGCTGTTATTATTTGCTCCCGACTATTAGTGGTTATAGTTTATTTCCTGAGCATTTATTAACTTTTCTCCTTTGATAGGATCCAAGGCTTCTCAGATCATAAGGACCACGCTGGAACGTCATCATTTTCTCTTGCGGGTGGAAAGATCCTCGGGCAGAAGGCGTTTCTTCTCGGCTATCGTTCTCCAAAATACTCTATATCGTTTGCACCCCCAACAACACTCTTTCCTTTCAGCATACCGACCCCCTTTTGCTATGAAGAACATGATTCGAAAGCTGGAACCCTCTCATTAAGGGCCGATAACCTGGTAGGAACTCGGAGAATCGTGATTAGCGTCGCTGGACCTACTGTAAGCCTATATGCCCTTTGTTATCCAATGAACAATTTATTGTGAATGACTTTATATGGCTAATACACGATGCAAGAATCACGAGGGGTGGGTTGCCCTCAATTGTCCGCTCTCCACTGGCCATGGAAATAAGTTTGCCTACGAGACATTCGAAGCTACCTTGTTTGTTGTAATCTCAGAAAGGAGGTGGCCCTGGCAAGAATGGGTACAGGTAGAAACGGCGCAGTTTACAAACGCTGCATTAGAATTTGGGGGTGATTATAGCTTCAAGTTGAAAGATAGTGTATAAGTTGATTGGAAAGCATTTGTGTGGTCGTTTATTCTGCAATGTGTGTTAGCAGCCTTTAAATTAAGATAGATATTGGATATCATACTTCGCTACATTTCAGAACGTTTGGTCAGTGCCCCCCCCCCCCCCCCCCGGGGGCTCGGTTGGCAGAACAATATTTGAAGTCTAGCGAAACATCTGTTGAGCTAGTAGTCTTTTAGGTATCCCATCCAACTCGGTCATTGAGCGGGATTTTATAGTGCCATTCTAGGAATGCGGCATTATCATAACTTTGATTAGCGAGTAGGAAAGAGTAGACGGCACAATTTTAGAAATAAGTACGGAAGGTAGAGTGAAGGATACGCGACTTGGTCGCTATCTTGCCTTGACTACAATATCATAGAGTATCCATATATTTATACCCATATAACTCTTGTTATACCGGAATATCTAGTTGGTTTCACCATCTACTATTGACGCCATAATATTGACTAACAGTGATTAATAGTGACAACCATATACATTCACCTAGGCTCGGATGACACACGTTTTGAAGACACCGAGTGATGCGTCATGATTACGACCACACCACCACTAGCCCGACAGACTTATTTATTTATTCATCCACCACCACCATTGGCTGGGATTTGGGGCCTATTCAATCTTCTTACCCTCCCATCGTGGTTTTTTGAAATACCCATATGCATGAACATAACATACTGTGGCTACTTCTATCCGTGGGGAAGAGGTTGTGGGGTTTGTAAATGTCAGAGTCTCAGAAAGACGGGAGAGATTTGTGCTGGGTCCTGTGATTCTAGTAAGTTTACATACAACTGTGGTAGGCACTAATAATTGACTGTCTTGCACATGTTTTAGATTACGAATTACAGACATGTTTGCATAGTGGTTTTATATCATGGCTAATCACTCGGCAGGTATAAGCAAATATGTAAGTGGCGCTTCGGAGGCGTTCCATATAAATATCATAATGAAAACATAATCCCGTAACTATATGAACACACACATAAATACATGATCATAAAAGATCAAGCCCGTAATTTCTAGCACTAAATAGACCAGATACTTTAAGGGCGGGCACGCCATAAATATCCGATCAGACCCTTGCAGCGACGAAGGCAGCAGCCTTACCTACATCATGGTCATAATGTAAGTGCGCTTCAAGAACGATCGGAAGCCCATGACAGATCAGGTCCCCATCATTACAGAAGGCTTTGACGTTGTCGTTTAAGGAGCCGGGGAAGGCGTCGCCATTGTCTGGGTCTCCAAAGAGAACGATCGCAGAAACATTTGAGTAAAGATCTTCGGGAATGTAACCCGCAGCCAGGTGAGTGACTTGTGCTCCTTCGCTGTATTGGTGTTGAGCATCAGTACATACATGTATATTACTTGGGTATTTAAAGGGTCTGTATATATAAATCTTACCTGTAACCGGAAAGAACGACCTTGGATTCCGGGCATTGAGATGCTGCAAGGGAGACCATAGAAGCCATGTATTGAGCACCAGTCATGGATCCACCAGTGAGAAATCCATAAATCTTTGATTTTGTAAGTAAGATAACCAAGAGATTTTCAGTACAACTTGCGGAACTTCGTACTAACATCTGCAGGGTAATCATTGACTCCCTGAGCAATAATTCTGCCAGGCTCAACCTTCTCAATCGCATCAAAAAACGGAGGCCCCAGGATGGTCCCAATATTCCCAGGCTCTGTCGCGCCCCGGGCAAAAATGACGATAACATCGTTACACTTGCCGTCAATTAGGTCGTTTCGGGTGTCGTTTCGAGAAGACCCGCCAATGTTGGAAAAAGCGCCCTTAATGTAGGCTTGGTGTATTGGCGAGTTGACTATAGCATCGGAGTCTACAGTATTGCTCGGCGCAGGCAGGGCTGTAGTCAAGGTACTGCTAACTAGGAGGGCCAAAGTGATGAAGAGCTTCATATTGAGGAGATTGGGGGTCTTAAGATTTTTTCTCTGGCATTGGATGGAACTGGGAGTGAGGATAAAAGAGAGAGAGAGAAAGCGGGGTCTTTATAGGTTGAGACATGTCCATTTATAGTAGATAGTCGTGATAAATTCTGACGTTGCGCGGATTCTCCCACTAACTCATAGGTATAGATTAAAGTTCCCAATTAAGGTACTAAATCCCCAGCCCCAAGGGACCCAAATAGTCTGGCGTATGGCTAACAATTTCTTAATAACAAAATATCCTCATGGCAACATATTACCCCACAATCCAACAGGGCCTCGACCAGGCTAGCTATTTGGTTTCCAAGCATAAACGAGTATAGATTCGTCGAAGGGTAAGGTGAATGATCGTTATAGTCCCCGAAAAACACTTGTGCTAAACCGAGGTTCATAAACTCTTGTCAATGCAGTACGAGCTCAGAAGTAAGAGCTAGACGTCGAGTACGTGCAGGTTATAGTCCGTTGTATCACGGTGGGGTAAGCCATACGCATCCTATTCTTGACTAACATTAGACATAAGATGAAAAAGAGAAAGAAAGAAAAAGAGAGTATGATCCAAGAAGAAAGGTTTATAATAGAAATAGCTAGTTAAATGTACAAGCATTAGTCTAGCATTGAGTGAGTATCTTCGATATGATTTCAGTGACAAAAAGATCCAATTAAACATAGAAAATATCATAAAAGGATCCGAGAAATCATGCAAAATATTGCCTATCTAATCTCTTTCTCCACCTTTGCGGTAGAAGCAGTGTTCCAGAATCTATTTGAAGCTTGAGTGAGTATTAGTTTTCGTGCGCTTCGACCCATTGATATAATTACTTAAAATAAAATGAACTTACTCTTTGTGCCTGCGCCATCGTCTGTACATGTCTGTTGACTTGGCTGAGCAGTTTCCCTGGTACCCAGTCTTATTTTGTCTTCAATATCTTCTGCCGCCTTCATGAGTTTATTCTCACTCTTTGAGCCTCCGCCATCTACCAGAGGTTTCAGAGGACTGTTCTGAACCATGGCGCATGTAGACAGCACCGAACCTGTTCTGTTTATCCCTATAGCGCGCAAGACCCTCAGGCGAATAAGCAGGGCCAAATGTGCTAAAAGGAGTGTGTAGCCACATGCAGCATAAAGTAAGGCTGGCCTATTGATTACTGTTGCAGCTATGGGAAGGGAATATTGGCAAGGATAGGCTGTTTTTGCGTATGGTAATTGGACTCGGTAGTACGAGGCCATTGAATGGAGTAACGCGCCGCCTAGAGCTGTAGACATGTTCTCATCATCCATACTTTCGAACCAATGGGACATGAGGGCTGCGGCGCTGCGGTAGCTAGAGCATTGAACACAGAACAAGACACCGCCATTGTGTTGCGTGAAAGGTTGGACAGCGACAAAAGAACTGACCCAAGCATCATTATCAATTGCGCCTAGACGCCTGAACATCTCGTTCTTGTCCCAAAAAGTAATTTGAACCCGATCTGAACGATATATTGGTATTCTTGGATAGCCACCCCTAGATTTATACTCAAAGATTGGTTTCTTTGAAATACCAGTTGCGCTAACCTCCCCAACCTCTCGTGGTAGAGAAATGACACACGTTTATAGGGACCAGTCTGCCCCCCCAAGACCCGGATCATCCGCGGCCAAACGCCCGCTGGGCCGTCCGTTAATCGTAGAATTGAGGTTATTGAAATAATCTATGTTCTTAACTCTCAAGACCATAAACCTGTGGCGCAGATCCCATCTAGATCCGCCGTCTAAAAGACACACAAAGGTAAATGACGGGTTATTTTTGGTGTAGAAAAGAACGTCATGTTCCATGTCGTATGACCTGTCAATGTAACTCCAGAAAGACGGAGGAGCGGTACAATTCACTCTTCTAGGTGTTAACCCTTCTTCCTCACTGGACGTTATATTTCCACAAATAGATATGCCGGTTAAGTCGTCGAGTGATATAGTACCGCTCAAATTTGCTGGGCGGCATATATGATCAAAGGATCCGACAAGTGCTGGTCCCGAGTAAGAGAAAGGTACTTGTTGTCCGACTTGAATTGGAAGAATTGCCATGTATTCCCGATCCTCTTGCTTGAGGATATGCGGGTAGAGCTCAATGGAGGAAAAGATTTGTGTCGGCTCTTCTAAATAGGGATCTGGTTCTGTTTTATTCTTCTTGATTCCTAAGAAGTATACAAATGTTGAGTAGGATTGATTGACCTCTTCGATGCCAGTTGATGCAACCGAAAAAATACCAATAAGGACTGCGCCTGCAGAAATCATAATGACCAGCAGTAAAATTAGAGACGGCAAGGCATTTGCTTTCTTGAAATGACTCCAAAAAGCGGATAAGCCTGTTCTTCACGTACCAAAACCTCAGTTAGTTTCAAATTGAGTAAAGGCTATAGTTACCATGATTTAAATCAACCAGTACAAATGTATAAAGTGACTGATTTGTTCACATATTAATACTGGTTGAATTAAGCGCGATAGTTATATATAAGGTATATCTGACTCATTAGGGAAACTTACACATAGTTCCCCCCAATCACCGACATATTCAGGAGAGAAATAACTTCTATTGCAGAGGCCCCAGAGTACATAAGCAACCATCCGCAATCAGACATGACTCCCCAAGCCAGAGATGTCGAAAAAAGACGCATGAAAAAGGATGTAACTTGGATGACCCGCAATACCGCAGAGGTGTCTCGTGTCCATTGTACAAGTCTTTCCTGCCAATCTCTCTGCGAGGCAAAAATACACGAGAATATGGCTACTGGAAATACGAGTAGAATTGCGAACAAAAAGTTCCATTTGGGTCTTGATACTGGGTGAGGCTTCTCGGATAAACTGGGATTCTTTGATACTTGTTGATCCGCCCGTTGGCGCGTTTGCCGCTTTCGAAAATGGATAAAAAGACAACCAGCAACAAATGATGTGATTAGTACGATAGCACACATAGCAGCGGTAATTCCAAACTTGAACTTTGTAATACTCGTCGAGGAAACCCCGTCAGTGGTTGTGGGCGCAGTGACACCAAAGCTCCAGGCAGGAGCGGGTTCACTAGCTGTAATAGGAACACCAGTTTGCTTTGCAGTTTCCGTAAATACAATAGCTGGGGCCCATACAGTATGCGGGTAGTCTTCTGGATATTCCGGTGTGGCTACACCAGTTATCGTGTAAGTTTCTGGATCTCCAACCCAAGCAGTTGTGGTGGTGGTAAAGTGGCTATAACACCAGGCGTCGAAGATATCTCCATCGCATATGTACCCACTAAATTAATGAAAACCATTCTAGTTATTCTCCTGACGTCTTCAGATGATAGAAAGATCTCGGAGGTATATGCAGGGAGTTTAACTATTTAGGGATAGATTCAAGTTTAGTTTACGTACCTAGGGCAACACATACTCAGTGAAGTAACATCGGGGCCGTTTTGGAGTTTCGAGGAACAGCCAGTGTTATATCCACTTGGGCAGATACCAGGACCAGGGAGGTAACCACCTCCATGGTAAGTGTCTGTCTTAAATTCAGGCGGAAAGCAGTGAGACATAAATATATCGGGGGCTCCATAATCCATTCGTAGGAATTCTCTATTTCCATTTTCATACAACAATGATGACATTGAAAGGACCTGCCCACAGCTCGCTGCTGGCGTAAATGCTGTTAATCTGGGCATCGGCTCATCCATTTTTGAAAATATAGGCCCTTTGCTATAGAACTTGACCTAGAGGACGGGGGCTGATTCAAAGTATCTAAAGAATTGAGAGAATCAACGGTGCCCGAGAGCTCTAAATACCACTGGGGTATGCCCGCCACAAATGGTAGTAACGTGCGGTTAGATATAGCTTGGCGATAAGTGCTGGTATTGACATCCCGAACATCTCTAGGCCACGTCAGGAGGTGTATCGCCATCAATCAAATCCAGTCTAATTGACCCCTTGAAACAGCCACTGAGGATCCAATGAGTACTAGTACATAAGTAGGACTTGATTCTTATGTGGGGTCTTCTGTCCCGGAAACTTGAGGAATCAGAAATACTTGTACTAGTTCTACAATCCAAGCCATACATCTTTGTAAAAGGTTTGAACAGGCTCTCGACAAATCGTATTTCGATATGTGGTTGAGTAAATACGAAAGATTTCCCCGCCCGCAGCCCAGTTGGTTCCTTAGCCGAATATCGAGTGATGTGTGCGTAGTCCGCCGGCCTATTACACATATCGGGGCGCCCTTGAACATTACAGCATTGCAAGATCTGTGATGCATGTAGCAGGGTAGGTATTCTGAGTACACTGGATCAGACCGGTTCAAAATCGGCGCAACTCAAAGATCAACTATCTAAAGTATGATTGGGTTCTCGTATCCTGGGATCACCTCTATCCTGCATAGCCAGCGATTGTGGGGGTTAGAGAATTTGCTTTAAACCTCTTTGTCAGCTGAGAGGGCATATAGAAAAGAAGAAAAAAACTAACCAGCAGAAAAGACCAACAAGCAGAATCATGTCGACTTCTAAACCTTTTCAAAATAAGGAAATAACCGTGTATATTCAGAAAATGAATTACAGAAGGACATCTTGTGTGAATTAAAGAAAGACGGAAATACACAGACAAATCATTCTATCTAGGTGAGACAGGATGTACAGCCACTCAGCAAAAGTGTTCGTGATTTAGTTTTAATGTCAGTGCGCAGTGTGGCGCGCGCACCCATGACGTTGATTTATTAATGTAGAGATTTAAAACAACTAAAATATATAATATAGTTCGTGACTATATATAAAAGAAGATAGGTCATTAATCTTATTCTTCATTGGTTCCGGGCTCCATTGGTGACTGGAAAGGTTTTCTCTTGGGGTTTTTTTAATGGTCCGCCAGAGTTACATATAGAGAAATGTCTCACTCCGAAATCGGAATCACGAACACTTTTGCAGAGTGGCTGTATGTACACCATATTGGCCGGTTTAGTCATTCGCCATTGACCAGGAAAATGCTGTAATTGCCGTAGGTATTTCGTACGTGTGCACAGGTGAGGTTGGACGGGAGCTAGAGACTTGGCGGTGTACTTGCACCTAGATACATGTACATACTCTATTTCCGGGAAGTGATACAAGCTTCTTGTATACCATCAGATCATTGATCATGCAGTATGTGCTGACTAGGTACGTACATGTAGTACATGTAGGTACATATATAAGTATGTACTCTATAGGTAAGGGCGGTGCGTATGGAGTTCTGAGAATGGGCGTTTAGAGAAGTTTAAGATAAACTAGCTCAAACTGATATTTCTGAATGGGCAATAATTTCTAGACATTCGTGTTGGAAAGGAGAAGGGTAAATACCACTCGAATTCAACCAGATCGGAAATGTCACTTTTTGGCTCAACAGCAGGAATTGGGAGCTTGAGGAAATAGTATTATTCTTCTGGATCTCGAATAGATTTCTAGGGCGATTACTGATCTCCATTCTACTCATCTTCTCCTCCCCACTCCCCCACCCCCAGCACCGCCGCCAGTTCCAGCAGCCATATCGGCCATATTAACCACCTCACCAATCCCCGCTTCTTCCTGCTCGTCCTCCAACGCTCTAATCTCCTCTCTACATGCCCACCACTTATCTTCTGCAGTCTGGAACGCGACTTTTCGAAGCTCCTTGATCGTCTTTGACTTTTCACCAGCTGATGATTCAAGTTGTGCAATGAGAAGATCCTGCCATGCGGTCGAGGTACGCGCGAAGAATTCGCGGAGTGTTTCGAATGGACGTGGGTGAGGGGTAGGATCGGGGGTTTCATCGATCGGTGCTTCCTCCTCATCCTCAACAATGGGTTCTGGGACGGCTTCAGGAACAGTTTCCTTTCCTTTCTCCTTCTTTCGCTATTGGTTGGATGAATCAATGTTAGTGAGAGTCGCCCAGCTGGGGCTTGGCTGTATCGCACCTTTACTTTCTCTTTCCGCCTTGCTTCGATTTCTTCATCGCCGATAACTATTTTTTCAGCTTCTCCTTCATCGTCGACATCCATCTCATCTTCGTCTTCTTCGTCTTCATCATCATCTTCGTCGTCATCCTCGTCTTCGTCCTCGCTGTCCTCCCAGACGGTTTCGTCTTTACGAGAGAATATTGTTCTAGAATTCCAGTTATCAGAAATGGCTGCAGAAAGCAATGATTGGGCTATTTCTTACCGAACGCCATCAAGTTTACCTAAGTCAATGGCAAACATGTCATCCATCATGAATTCTCTATCACCCTTCTCGAATGTCCCTCCATAGCCGTAGAGCACATCATCCAGTACGGCCATGGCACAGTTAAACCTTTTGTGGGGTAATTCTAATGATAATTCTACGGGGGCTTTCTTTTTCTCGGACTCGTCAATATCCATTTCTACTTTTACTTCAGGTGTCTCAGAAGCCATCTTCCCAGTCGCTTCCAGGGCTGCAAGATTTCGTAGAAGCTCTTCTTCGTCTTCCTTTGCCCTATCTCTTCTACCCCCGCCTCTCTCGGCTACTCTCTTCTGCTGCGTCCGGGGCTTCCGAAGCACAAGAGGAAAGAACCGATTCCGGTCCGTACCCCACGCAAACAAGTCGTTAAAAAACTCGCTATCCAGAGCTTCCTCCGTCTCCTCCTCGTCACGGACACCACCAAAGAGAATTCCTCTCCCCTTGTGCCACGCCATAGTCACACCAACACGAGGTGGATTCGGCGGATTACCGGGCTTCTTCCGGCGCTCCCAGCGCACCTTCGACAGGTCCGGGTCCATCCTAAGCAGCCATGTGTCTTGATACATGACAGGTTTATAGGTCACCGACTTACTACTCCCCTGCGCTTTTGCGCCCTTCTTGCCCGCGCTTGGCAGCGCTGAGGTCTTTACACGGGCATACCCACCATATATGACCGCGCCCGCCTCATGTGGCAGGAACGAAAAGCTGGACCTAGCCTCTGGGCGCTGTGCATGCGCCGGGAGCGAGATCTGGGTCCACGTATAATGGACCGTATCAAACGCCCACAGATCCGCTAGATACTTTGGCGTCGTTGACGTATCCTGGAAGCCGCCCATCAGCAGGATAAAGTTCTTCCACGCCACCATACGATGTCCACTCCTCGCCGGGGGTGTCCCGCCCCCGGCCTTACCGCTACTCTTACCTTCCACGCGGTTCCACTCGCGTGAAGCACAGTCGAAGCGCCAGAAATCATTGTAATGGTAGAACGTGCCCTGCTTCGGCGAGCTAAACTCTCCACCAAACAGCCATAGCGACCCGCTGCCGCCGCCGTGCTGGCTCGACGCTACAAAGTGGCCGGACCGTGGTAGCGGCGAGTTTGGGGACGTAATCTGCCGCCAGTCCTCGCGGTCAGCGTTGAAGATGTACAGCTCGTTGAAGAACTTTGCGATCGACCCGTTGAACGTCTCGCCGCCAAACAGAAACAGCTCCTTCCCGTTCGGCGAGGCCGTCAGCGTCGCATTTGCGCGCACCGGCGGCGGCGTGCTCAGTGGTGTTTCGGTGACTTTGAGGAATTGTGCTTGCTAGAAGAAAAACAAGTACAAATCCCACTCCGGATTTATGTTATCATCAGCTCAAGGTGTTCCCTAACAAGCCTTTCTGTCATATAAAAATGCCAATTCACCTGCAACGCATATTCAGCAAGGACCTGGTCAAGATCCACATCCTCGACCTCTTCGTCGGCATTGTTCTTGCCCTTCTTTGTGTTCTTCTTCTCCTTCTGCGCCGTCTTTCGGGCCGTCTTTTCGGCAACTCGCGCCTTCTTGTCGACCTTCTTCTTGTCCTTTTTGCCAGCCATCTTTTGAGAGGATTTGGGAGGGGAGAAATTATATATGGTTTTGAAACATTTTGCGGGGTGTGGGGTTTGGGATGGGTTACCCTGCAGTCAGTCGGTGATGTGCAGGATGAGCTTTTGGGAGCCTCAAAGCGAGCTGCTTTGTTTGCTGTTCAGTTTATAAATTAGTCAAAAATGAGTAAAATAAACTGACCTAATATGACTCCGTGGCGCAACGGTAGCGCGTTCGACTCCAGATCGAAAGGCTGCGTGTTCAAATCACGTCGGGGTCATTCACTTTTTGATGTTTTCCTCAGCGTTGGCGACCTTCCTTACCAGGTAACGAACGGCTTGGTCTCCTCTCCCTGTCAATATCGGACGAGTGATATATGATGATCTAACACCCCCGGTCCACCAGACTGTCCCTTCTTTACATTAATCATTTTGTCCAGTCAGTTTCTCGAAGAGATTTGGAATTCCGAGGACAGACTTTCATTTCCGTTTTTAACCGCCATCGTTAATTGAAACCCAGAAGTGTTTAACTACATGTAGTCGCACTTTTTTTGGTTCAAGTCTTCATTGTGCACCGTATGAAAACCATGGATTCTTATTTATAAGATACAAACACCCTCTTTCTCCTCACACCATCGAGCCTACTATTCCTGCATCAGTATCTTATTACCATAAGCATCACCATACTACCATCAGCATCATATTATCATCATCAGCATCCTATTATCATCAGAATCTTATTATCTTATCAGAACCATCTTATTATCAGTATACATAGACAGTAAGCATCCTCTACCCACTAACTCCCATTATATAACACAGAATCACCATCACTCCCCAAACCACCATGTCACCACCACCCCACGACGCCCAGATCTGCGCGCAGACCTACAACCGCTGCCCCGAGGGCCTCTGCGTCCAGCGGCTGGAGCTTGCCGAGATGATGTTCGCCGCCATCAGCGCCGTCGACGAGCTTGGTAAGCGGCGGGTGCTCATTATGGAGAAACTATGTGAGGACCTCGGGACTTTGAAGTCTGAGGGGATGTCGAGAGAGGCGAGGAGGATGTTGAAGGATGATGTGAAGGATGTGCGGAGGCTGCTGAGGAGGCTCGGCGAGGATGCAGTAGGGGTGGGGAGGCTGGTGGGGATGTGGGGGGAGAGGAAGGATGGGATGGATGGTGGAGGAAGTGCGGCGGTTAGTGTGATGCTGGAGGGGGATGAGGAGTTTTTGAGGGGTGAGTAAGGTTGTGTGGGTATTGGTAAGTTGGCGTTTGATAGTGGGTTGTTAGTGGGTGAATGAGTGATGTTTGTTATGAGGTATTGAAAGATAGAGATATGAGTGTTGCGGTGCTAATAAAATGTTTTGGGAACGATTTTTTTGCATTGAACCTGGGCATCGAGTGATATGCTGTGCGACTTGCGGCCCGTAATACACGTACACCTCTCTCTCTCCACGGAAGAATATTTGAGTACATATCTGCCGGTTTGTGAATCTTCACTCCTTCTGGGCTTGGTTTATTATTTACTAGCCAAGAGAGCCACTCACGGGTTGGGCGGGACACCAGCACTGCCAGGCCGGGTGTCCAACAGGGCCATGCTAGCCAGCCCTACGAGTGACATTGTGTGATCTGCATTGCCGCATAACGTGTTCTCAACCGAAAAAACGCCGTGTGCAGAACCATAACGTGGTGCTGTTGTGTGGACAGATTGCTTGTAGAAGAGGAAAACGGTTCTCTCTCCTGTTGTTGTCTCTTTCTTCCCCTTTCCTCTTCCATCTTGCTTCCTCTTCTCAACAAGCTTAAGCTTATAAGTCCAACTACATGTAGCTATAGTGCTAACTCCTGTGACAGCTTTTTGTTCAGAAGCCTTTCAAATGAATGGAATATTAATTTCTACGTGCAGTGATAATAAGAGGTTAATTGTATTCTGATCTAATTGCTTGGTCGAGTAAAGGGCACATCTTATCTTGTACATCGTCTAAGTATCTAAACATCCGTTCTAATCTTGCTCACGTCTTTCTTCTTTCCTCTAGCTAACTCGTCAACCAATCTGTCCAGCTCATCTGCCAAGCCCTTACTCGCAGTCCCAGCGCTTCTATGCGCCTCTGCAGCAGCTAACAAAGCCACGACTGCCGCGCCGAGCTGTTCGTTTCCACCCACGACAGACTTAGCAGCTGAAACGCCCGGATCTGACACACCTGCTAATCAATGGTCAGAGTAGGAAGGGAAAACAATGGACTTCTCAGTCATCCACATACCAGGTCCAGACCGGCAAACATGCTTCAGTTCCTCCCTGTATAAATGCAGGCTGTCCACATCCTCTAGTATCTTGCCCACCGCGCTCGGAACCGTAAATACAGCCACCGCCCCCAACACCGTGAGGATATAACAAACAAACACCTACTAATCAGCCCTCAGTCTCCTACAGGTGAGCCTACATGCAAAGACGTCGACTTACATTTCGATTTCCTATTCCCCTCCCCGCCTCTGCCCCCACCCCCCACCATCCCTTCCACGCCAGGGCCCAGTATAGCCCCAGAGTCAGCACATAGCACCCAATCGAGGCACTCAACAACCATGCCGGCACCCATAACCTCGCAGCAACCGTCAGGCTCGGCACCCCCTCGACCCTACGACTACTAGTCACCAGCCCCCTGTGTGTAAACGCCCTCCGCACCTCGCCCGCGCTCGCAAACCCCGTCAGCCAGTGGTGCAGCAAGAACGAGTAGTACACGCTCAGCAGCGAGAGCACAAGCCCGCACGTCCACAGCGCCGACACGCTCCAGTGCAGCGCGGGCGTGAACTCCTGCTGCATGGATGTGTTCGTCACCCCTGCGACAAGCGCGGCCGCGACGCCCGTCATGCTGCAGGACGCCATGCGCCGCGCACGGTAGTCGAGCGCCGTGGTGTCCGAGGCGAGGAGCACGTTGTGCGTCATTATGCCGAGGGTGTCGGTCAGTGGTGAGAGCAGTGGATAGAGTACTGTGGGGAGAGCGTAGGGCTCGAGTCGCTATCCGACTGTTAGTATCCTATCGCCGCCGTCGCCGCCGCCCCCTATGTTCTTAATATGCCCTACCTTGACTTTGGCGACCCATCTCGCGCGCAGCAGGTCTACGGTGTCACGCAGCGTGAGCGACGAGGAGATCACTGTTCCGGAAAGCGATATTACACCCGCGAGGACGGAGACGAGTGCTAACGGGTCCGACATTAATATCTATTGTGGGAAAGAATTTGAACGGATGGTTTTGGAATAAATCTCTCGCATTCGCAATATGCGGGGATCTCTCTCTCTACATATTTAATGAATGCGCTCTCCATGCAAGAAGTTCGAGTCTGCCCCTGTGACGATCTGACCGGTGTTGTGACACTGTCGTCTGACTTGTGGTGTAACCCTAACCCTGGGGTGCGAGTGAGACGGTGTGGAGTGTGGTCTCGAATCTGGGTGGATGATGCCGCTGGAGGTGAATAATTGCTATCCCGTCAGTCAGTCATTCGGTCGGAATTGTGCACTTTGGTCTACATGTGCTGCAGACTTGGTGTTGATTGTCCGGGCTTGCCCGGAGGAGCACGTATTACGGGTGTTTGGGTACTTACATGTAAGTCTGTTGACTGTGGTCCGTGGTTGCAACAGTTCTCACTGTGAACAGACTTACCCCGAACCCCGTAGTATATACATGCCCCGCCCTCGGGGTTGGACTTTTAATTGGCGTCTCTTAAAATCAGCCGCTGAGAACGGAGTGCCCCAGACTCGGGCTCGAACTTCAGTACTTACTGGATCAAATACATATAGGCTTGAAGCCGGTATCGATTTCAGTCCCAAAGCGAATTAATTAAGCCACCAAATCGACCCCAGACACCAATACATGTAGGTAGAGTATAGTATATCCGGGCCAAACACCTGATACCAATCAAAGTATTTACGAAAAAAAAAAAAACTCTACATCAGTATTCTACGATTCTAACAGTCACACCTAACTACTCTACAAATACAGATATCCAAATAAAATACAACCTACCCTCCTATTCCTCCTCCTCGGTCTTCAGCGCCACCACCTTCCCCCTCACCCTCCTCCTCTCCTGCACCCAGTCCCCCAGCACTGTCCACAGCTCCCTCTTAAACTCCCAACTATACCCCGCCACCAACCCACTCGTACTCGGCACCACAAACACCCTACACCCCACCCTCCACCCCTCCGCCGCCGCCCCCTCCTGCCACCCCCACTCCCACATCTTCCCCACCCCCCTCCCCGTCCCCTCCCTCACCACCGTCTCCCACACCACCTTCCCCACAAAACACACCGCCTCAGGCCCCCACCTGCGCACCTTTTCCCGCAGCTCCGCCACCCCCGCCACCATCTCCGCCCGCGACAGCTCCCCCGCGTCCCGCGACGCCCGCCCAACAAGGTTCGTGTGCCCCAGCCCATACCTCCCCGGCAGCCCCTGGTCCTCGCATGCCGCCACCCGCCGGTCAGGCGTGCACCCGGAGGCGTGCAGCAGCCGGTAGAACAGGTTGGTGGGCGCGGCGAAGGCGTGCCCCGTCGCGGCGGAGGTGAGACCCGGGTTGATGCCGATGAAGAGCACGATCAGGTTCGGTGCGAGTGCGTCGGGGATGGGCGAGAGGTGCGCGTACGTTGAGGGCGGGGCGTAGACGGAGGGCGCGCGCCGCTTCTTCTTCTTTTTGGTGCTGCCGGCGGCGGTGTCTTCGTCTTTGGGTTTTTCGGCGGCGGTGGCGGTGGCGGCCGCGGGTTTGGCGGGTTTGGCGGCGGGCTTGGGCCGAGCGGCGACTACTCGGGCGGTGGATACAGTTCTCGTGGAGCTCCGTGTTGTTCTGCCGCTTCCACCATCGCCGCCGGCAGTGGTGGTGGTGGAGAAAACGAACTTTGAGAGCGCGCCACCGAACGACGGTGGCGGTTTTTGCGGTGCGTCTTCATGAGCTTCGCTTTGCTCTAATGATTCGGTGAGTGTTTTTCGTTTCGGGGGCATTGTTTCTTGCTTTTAGGTGTTATTGCCGATACTGGGTGGGGTGGGTGGGTGGTATGTAGATGATGTATCAAGAAGCTGTTGCCAATGATTGATGGAGCAGCTTATGTAGCTAGCCGGGTACATGCGGTTACCTACAGCTAATGAAGCTGGCAATGACCAGTAGTACGCTAGCAGTAGTAGTGATGGTACTGCCGCCATCAGTAGCTGTTGCAAAGGGGATGTCTCAAAACTGATTTCAACTACATTCTACTTGGCTACTCTAGAAGAGTGATAAAACGGACGGAAAAATTGCAAAATGCCCCTCAGATAATATAATGGTGTTCAACCCAAAATGCCCTTGTGTTGCAAAGTACCCCTCAACTAAGATTCACGACTCATTGAGATTTGAGTTATTGAAATACAATAATGAGTGCACATTGGCTATAGTGCGAAAAGAACGAGATGAAATCACTACCAGAAAACTGTAGGATTTAGTAAAGAATACAATTAAACTTAAACCGGCATTGCATTGCAAAAAGAAAACTGCATTAATAGCAAATTAATGGGAATACCGTAGTGAATCCGTACCCTTAACTTGTGGTATAGGGCTGTTGGCCAGAGGCCCCAGAAACACTTGATATATAGACTATATCACTTACGCCAAATAACACATAATTACTATGGACGTACGTAGAGATAACCCAAAAATGGTGGTAATGTGCACAGAAAATGCTATTTTAATATATGTACAGTTGGGTCGAAAGGTGTACAGAGAGTACTACTTTAATGTCTCACGAAAAGACACCCGCTAAATCCATTGTAAATGAACCACTTGTGTCATTTACCGACGACGTCCCCGGTAAATGAATCAATTGATTCATTTACTCAATTCGCTTTGGTAGGTGCTACGTGAATAGCACGTAATTTTATAATGAAGTATAAGATGGTTTTCATTCATATCTACTGTAAAAACTATTTATAATTACTCCGCTGGGCATAGGTGGCCCAGACGCGCCTTACTAGCCAGTTGGCAGTAGGCGAGGTACACCTATGCCCGCCGGGCATCCAATTACCTTAGTAATCAGTATATTGTACACTTCACCAGGATACCAATAATTGTGGGCGTAGCAGTAGGTAATGCATCAAATGATTCATTTACATTGCTAGTAGAGCGCTTAGTAACCAACATACAAGTATCCTCCTCCAAATCCGCACATAGGCGGATTCCACGTAGCAGCTTATCTTGCAATGTATATGAGGCATACTCGTCAGTGGTGATCCCTATAACCTCCAGAAATCTGGCCCAGCTGCATGTAGGTTCCACTGACTTCTCCTCGGTGACGTTTTTCCTGGTAAGTTGATCTTCTTTCGACTCCAATTACTTTTTTTTTTTTTTTACCAACTTTGGTAAGCTGATGAAGGGCATTTTGGTTCCGGTGGAACTTCATGTATTTCGTGTAGAATGAACGCATCCTTGCAGTCTTTTTTCCATGGACCGAGTGATTTTTTGGGGGGTGGGCTAAAAGACACTTCGCGCCGTTGCAATATTAGAACGATAGAGCCGTATACACTAATAAGTACAAGCACGTCTGCAAGAGCTCCTATTCCCGTGAGAATCACTGAGACCCACGTCCACTCTGTCGTTAAAGTTTCGCCAGATGAGTTGCATACTGTGGCTGTCTGTAGTCCAATTATTAGACTGTGATCTCTGGTCGTTGAGAAAGTAGTCCTGAACGACGATAAATTAGTTTTTGATGCTGAGGATGGTTATGACAATAAAGAAGAAGATGATGATGATTACCTGAATATGAGTGAGGTTGAAGGGATCCTAGTTTTGGCTATTACTTGGATAGTGCCAGGCAGACCGAATTTGTAACCTTTAGACACTGGATCGATACTTGGCGGCAACAGTGTGGCGTTCTTGTTGACTTGTATTAATGATAGATACACAGTTGTACTCGATGATGAAAGGAAAAAGAAAGAGAAGGAGAAGGAGAGCGAGCTGACAGGTAAAGGAAGATGAGAGTGTTAAGTCGGTGCCGCAGCTTAACTTTATAGCATCTCAAAACCAACACATTATGTATGCTTAACCGATTACAACCACGTAGCCGTTGTAACACCTATTCCGCTAACGTTCCTATTTCGGTTCAATAGTAGCATCACTAGCCGCATATGGAAAGTACATGTACTTAGCTGGCTACATAGCGAGTGATACATGATGACGGAGAGCTGCCGTGTCAACCGGTACATATTTACGCATCATGGGCATCATAGATCACATCACCAATGTATAAAGCGTCAATCAAACAGTAAGAAGCAAACTTTTATCCCTTTCCCATTAACTACACTTTCATTACTTTCATCCAATTACCTATTCCCTCCTCTCTTTTTTCGCCCAATACTAAAGACACCTCCTCATCCATCCACTCATGCACCCACTACAACCCCAAACAAGGCCAAAAACTCCACCAAATACTCGGCCAGTCCCTGCACGGCCAACTCATCCGCCATCCCCCACTCGCGTCCCTCACCCCTAAACTTCTCCACAACAGCCACGATATCCGGCCTGCCTGTTGTGGCCTCAAAGCTGATTCTGCTATTCCCTAGCGCGGTCCTAGACCGCTGTACATCCGTCCACAGTTCCGACCACGGCATCCACCCTGACCTAGCACCGGTACATGTCGCAACATGCGCTTTACCAATGCCACCCTCCACTTTACACATACATAACGGACACGCCGTCGGAGCACTCGCAAATACCTTGCCAGAAACATATCCGTCAATTGCGGTATAGAAGACCGCAATGCCGAAGCGTGCAACGAGGCCGTCAATACGGGCCTTTGGAAGTATCTGGCGCCGCGTGTGTCGGTGGTATTCTGCCGTGAACGAGGCAGACAGGTTCTGTTCGCGGTTGAGGATCTTGTTGCGAAAGGCGGTCCATTGGGGATATAGTACGGTGAGGTCCGTGTAGGGGCGCACGTTGGTGAGGAAGGAGAAGTCGTATAAGCCGGTCGCTTTCGCACGGTATGATGTAACCAGGGTGATGCGGTCGGTGGTGCCGCGGGCGCGGAGAGCTAGGTGACGGACGAGGCCGCCTTGAAGGATGGTAGCGAATCCGGCGCTGGGTTGGGAAATCTGTTGGCGTGTTAATAATTTGCGGGGACTATATTGGGGTGCGGTGCTTACGCCTTGGAAGGTACCGTCACCGCGTTGGATCACGGTCTCGCCCCCGATCATATCGGTAGTGTCTGAGAGCATGGCGACACAGACAAACGGATAACTATCGTAGCTATCAATTCACTCCAGACATTAGTATACACGCAGACATAACTAACTCCCTTCTGAATAGTACAAGAAAACTCACTGCCACGGGATGATACTCCCACCGTCTCCGAAAATCTCATCCTCAATCTCCTTCTGCCCCCTCACCGCCACCCCACTCCTCCCCGTCCCGGTCCCCTCTAATGCAAACTTGCCACTAGTCAAGTCCTTGGAAATGGCCTGCAAGCATTCCCCACGCTCCATACCCCGATACTTCTTCATATCAATCTGCACATTCGCATGCCCAATCTCCAGAGTCTCCATAAACACCTCTAGCTCTACACCCGCAGCGTCACTCACCGCCCTCATGACCCTCGGGTGGGTCCAAACATTCCGAAAGAACTTTGAATGGGCGGCCGCGTTACGAATAATTAGCGTGCTGTTGCTATAAATGCTCGCAGTCTTTTCTAAATGGGCAGAGTCGAGGAGAGCCTTCCTTAGCAGCGGAATTGCGGAGGCCGCAAATAGAGGAAATGGGCTTGTGGCGGCGATAGGGGATGCAGAAGTGATAGGGCGTGGGAGTTTAAGGTCTTGAAATGTCAGTCTTTGACAGGGGGGCGAGATTTTAAGGTGCTTCTATGCGAGGAGTTAGATTGAGATGGGTATTTCTCGTATTTGAGGGAGGGAAAACTTACGGCCGGGCAGAATATTGGTTCTGAGTTTTTGGTGTGAGGGGTGCCGACGTTGGAACTCTCTTTGCATTTTCTCCCTACAACCTTTAGGATCAACTTGACTGGCTGGGGTGGGTTGATGGCAGTATCGATATCTCTGCTGACTGGCCCGTTCATTCTCAGAGAGGTATTGACGATATCCATAGTGACTGCAGGGTGTATTGATGCAAGAGATAGTATTGACTTGATAAATCACCTGAGAAGATTGTGGAGAAAGAAACAAATCAGCAGAAGAAACAATCGCGGGAAGGGTTGGTCAACCGCACTGTCGTCAAAAGAAAATTTTCACCACCTTTCGGCTTAGCCATAGCCACCACGACTTGGCCCCGCGGGCGGTAGCGGGCCCGGGGAATGGCACTATACAGTCTTTACCTACATGTATACATGTACATGTACTTTTCACCAAAAGACTACCGTGTTATACGTCCTCTAAGGATTTGCCGCCTACATTGCGCCTATGACTGGCTGGCCTTTACGACTCTTGGGGTATGGCGTTTGGAATGGCTGTTACATAGATGACGTGAGATTTCACATATAGCCTTGGGGTCTTAATATATAGGACGTCATCACTGGTGCAAAGACCAATGTACTTGTACTTGTGATACTATAGGAATCAAGAAGCGCTCTGGGTACTACCGTAACGCAGTAATAAGACATCCTCCTCCTCCATAAATCGAGCCCACAACCCTTGATTTCACCCACAGAAAAGCCCACACACACGAATAAACTCCCCTTCCAAGATCATGTAAACCCGCGATTCTCTTCACCCTCATACGCCCCAAAGAAAAAAGCACGGTGCTCATAGCCCATCACTCGGTCTTGGCAGCCCGCACTTCAACCCTATCCCCACTCCGCCGGTCTTATTTCAGCCCGCCAGTGTGGGGATGAGGAAATGAAGGCATCACCAACTACCTCGCAACCCCACCACGTCTTTTCCTCTCATCCATTATCACCACACCCCATACGTATTATTTATTCTCTCCTACGCGTATCATTTATTCTCTTCCACACCCTGCGCTTAACCAAAAAAAAAAAAAAAAAACTATTCTTTGTCGCATTGTCCTACATGAACTTTAATGACTACCATTTATCTAACCGAGCAGAAACCAGTCGGACTGTTCTGCGCAGACAGAATCAATCTAACTAGAGCACCCATGATGGAGACGAGAAGACCCGCGACACCTCTCGGCTCCAGTTCTCGTCAAGATACCGCACCTGAAACAAAACCGACTCTCCCGAAACTAACTTCACCGCGGCTTGGTGTAACTATCCTTTCCCCGGATTCCGTCGTGTCTCGCGTCGCCCTCTACTACCGAGACCCCTCGAAAAAGTCTCATCTCACCCCGCCAGCCGCCATAGACTGTTTCTCACCATAAGGATACATGCCCGAGTTCTATTTAAGTTTGTAGCCTCCGTCCGTGGTTTCGTTTTCAGCATGATTTTTTTGTTTTTGTTTTTGTTTAATTCATTAATTGTATGCAGACCATAGTCTATGACAATATCACACTACCCCGGAACTTCCCAATCACTTCCTCCGCCTCTCACAGTACGAACCAAGAATAAAACAAAACCCAACTAAACAAAACAAACCCAACTCTCAAACTAATAACTTTTTCAGCATGATTCAGCCCCCGTCCATTTTTTTTTTTTTTTTTTTTTTTTCGCTTCCCGCGACGGCGGGTATTCCAGACAGCACCCGGCCCTAAAGTTGTGGTTACCCTTTTTGATTCTTGTTCCTCGGGGTAGAGTAGTGAGCAGTAGTCTATCTCCATCTCGAGATGAAAAGACCCATTCCCCAATAAACCGGATCACCCAAGAATACTTACCTGGGTACCACGGGTGGTTTAAGAAAAAAAAGTAGCACGAGAGAGAGTCTGTACTGTCAAGGGGAAAGAATGAAACCCGTCCCTCGCAAGGAATCCCACCTAAACTGACGGCCTACTGAGGAACACCCCGAATAGGCCGTATCCCTAGATGATCTAGTCACACTCGGTAGGCTTCATTCTCTTTACTATATTCCATGGAATAACCCTTATTGAAAGGAAGCTCGTCTATGACGGCCCGTAGAAAGTCGATTTCATGGTGGGGGTGCTTCGTTCAATGCCGACAGTTGAGCTTGGTCGAACCTAACCTCTATTTTCAAAACTATAACTAATCTAAATCCATTACTACAGTACCGCCTTGATAAAGGGAATTACAATTACACACATCAATTCCCCCCCCCCCCCCTCTTCTATGATAACTATATTCACATTCTGATATTCCCAGCACTCGCGTCATGAAGCAGCACTCGCAGGCTAATTGAACCAGTTTGTATTTGCGCAGAAAGGCAAGAAAAATAAACAGAAATTTTCAACAATCACCGCTCCAGCTGACCAACTTCGAAATATTGCGCTTTATATTTGCCATAAATATTTTTTCAAATAAAAAACCCAACACCCCCAAGAAAAAAACAAGCAACAATAAATAAAAAAAATGTGTATTCCCCAATTCTAATAACGAATGGACCGAGCATTTACCCCCGGAAATGCTCAAATCATATCACAGACCTTTGTCATGACTCCCATTACAAAGGAAAAGGCGGAAATTAAAAATAAAAAAAAAATTTAACCCCAGTACGCGAAGCCTGCAAAAATAAATATCATTTCGTGAAAAAAATGAAATCATAAACTTTTTCCTGATATCGACTAGAAGTACTACTTAACGCCTTGTGAAGCAGCACATAATGGACGCTCTTCCAAGAAACTATACACGCGATATTAGCAACGGTAACATACTTCATGTAATGATTGAGAAGAGAGAAGCTTTGACTTACCCAAACACAACCAATGAATCGGAACAGTGATAATGCCGCTGTAGCCAAGAGAATGAATCTGAAAAACCACGCTGTTCGAATCTTTGAACTGGAACCCAGCCAATCAAAATTGTCAGAAGTAAAGATAGCAACGACTGCACAATTACTGAAAATCCATGCTGTAATAAGCCTAGTTCTGAAACTCTTGTAAGAATCGTCAAGCGACTTAGTCTCAACCTCCTCTTCGGCGACGAATGGTGCGAGCGCTCGTTTGACTGTTTCCTCAAACGCCTGATCAATATCCGCCTGGGGTTTCTCTGGCTCATCGATGACTTTAGCCTTCCCCTCTGTCTTGGTTTTCGCTGACGGAAGCGCCTCGGCCTTGTCGGATCCTTTAGTACCCCATGAAACGTCGTGCCAATTACAGAAAGCATAAACGTTGAGAATGTTGGTGTAGGAGGACGCCATCAATACGTATTGGGGGAAACTGTGCATCATGTGCCATGGGTCAAGGTACATGAAGGAAGCGACAAAGTAAATTCCGAATGTCGAGGCCAAGGCGAGGATGATGAGCCCAGTGTTGGATGTGAAGAATTTGCCAATGAATTCCGCTACACTCGAGGATTGCAAATCACTCCATCCAGCAGAACCTGAGAATGCCCGAGCAACGAGATAGAACGAGAGAATGAGAATGTAGCACTGCAATACCGAGAAAACGCAAAAGCTGACGATATACGTTTGCTTAGAACTATCAAAATAAGTTATAGTCAGTAAGTATGCTTCTGGCCTAGATCTTCGTAAAGGATAGGGAGACATACCCTTTAGGCCTATTACCAAGCGCAAGAATGAATTGGAGGATTACAAAACATAGATAGAGGTATTTCATCATGCTGTTGAAGATAGGTGTTGGCTTTTCACCGAACGGCCAGGCAACCTTTCCAGCTGCCTTCTCTTCGTCTGTTGGGTCACCAACAAGATCCATGATAACCGAAGTAGTAAGCCAGAAACTCCCTGGTGTAAATGTCAGCATTTGTCGCCTTAGGGGGTGTGCCGCTTTTATGTACCTATACTGAACCAACTCATAAATGTCGCAAAAATATTGTAAATGAGCTGTACATGGAAGAAAAACATTCGAATAATATTATGCGAGCTGGAGTACATCCTCCCAAAGTGCATAAGTGAATAGATACCGGCGGCAAATGAACCGTTTAGCCATCTTCTTCTCTGAGAAATAAATTCTGCTGCGCCTTCCGGAACATCGGTTTCTGCTTTTGAAGCTCTGATGTATGTCAAATGCCATTTTGAGCCCGCCTTGGCAACAAGCTCGAAACATAGGATACGATCCTCTGCCAAAAACATGTTCTTCTTGAAGATATTCATCCCATCAATTCCCTTCTTACCAAATCTGGCGGAGAGCGTGTGGTCACCATGGAAGTACTGTTCCAATGGACGCCCCATAATTGCTCGAAAGCGGTAAGCCGAGAACGCACCAGGCTAAACCCAAGATAAGAGTTAGCCTCTTTGCTTATCTAAGTGAAGGCGGCGGAATATCGAGTGATCTCTCGTGAATTTTACACAACCACCGCCGCGACATAACTCTTCAACGGGGAACTCACCAAAACGCTGACGTAACCAAAAGCCGATTCTAGCGGCTTATCCAAAATATTGGAAATCTTGTATTCAAAATTCTGGGTTGCTACCAGTGGATTAATCAAGTTCTTCCCATTTTTCCCCAACATGGCGTGAATTTCACCACAGGCGCCTCCCAAATTCTTGTCGTTATAAAACGCCTCCCATAGTGCAAGAATACTCTTCGGGCCCGGTTTTGTCCCAGCGTCAAGAAGAATACAGACTTCTGGATTTAGGATACGTCCAAAAGCATTAAACAACCAACGATGAGAATTGATCTTCTTGGTATTTCGCTGCTTAAGACAAAACATAAGCTGAACAGGCGGGAAGGCTTTATCATCTTCGGCACCTGTTGGGCGCATAAGTGTTTGGTGCGCAGTTACAGATATCTGTGTTGTAAATTCAAACTGTGATTCAATTGTTAGCTTGTATTCTCCTAAGCTGATTATGACTGACGGCTGCGTTGTCCAAAACCGGGAGCGGGACTCGGGAAGCGCCAAGGCTTGGCCACAGGATTTAAGATTACAGCCCTTCAGCCGCAGGGGCGAGAGCCATCCCATTCTGTGTAGTGAGAATTGACTTGGGGTAGGGATCATGTAATGAGGTGGGTGTTCATCATTCCATGGCTCAAACTTACAATATGGGCAGTGGTTTCTTTGCCGTCAACGTCCTTCTTCATCACACCATCCTGGAATATACCAACAGTTGCCAGCACATCCAA